ACCTTCTCGCCTGCCCTCTTCCCCCCCGCATTCTCGGACGTCTGGGAGAGGGGGATGCAGAACGCCAGGAAGACAGGTGTTTATCAAAGCGGGGGGCTGTCGTCCAACTGTTTTTCCTCCACCTCTCTCAGGTGCCTCCTCAGTGCTGTTTGCTCCTCCAGGATCCTCCACATCTTATCCTGTGTCTTTCACTCACGCAGCCTGGGTCCTCCTGTTCGGTCCTCTAACCGGGTGTGCCTCTATGCCTCGAGCTGTGCCCTATCGGTGCACGCGCTTGTTACACATTTTGTCCCATCTACGTTTTCTTCACCTTCCAATCTGGGAAAGTCTAACTGCTGGAGCAGGGGCAAAGACTCCACAGCTGCGTTGGAGATAAAAGTCCCAGGCAGACTGTACAGAAGCTACATTGTAAAAACCAGCTGGGTACCTCTTTCCCAGTGAATGGAGCATGTTAGAGCAGGAAGCACCTGTGTTCGGGGCCAGGCTGAACTTTTCATTCTCAAGGGAGCACCGACCAGTGCGGTCCAGCACACAGCAGAGCGCTGGGCAGCAGAACTTGGTTTGTAGGCAGGTGTGGTCAGCGACTTGCTAGGAGGGGCTCGTTAGCTTCTGCTTCTGAAAACATGAGGTAAAAGGTGCTTGCAAACTGCAGTCCTCGTTGTGTGCATGCTCATGTTTGCCAAGAGGGCCGGCGGGTTTGGTGTGGACAGTCACTGATGTGCACAGACCAGAAGAGGTCACCCCCACCCTGTTCTTGCACAGCATGGCTGTTCTCGAGGTGATCCCTTCAAGCCCATCGCAAAAAGGCTAGCACTCCTTGGTCATAATGTGTCAGGGATGCGCAAATGAGGTTTACAGGAGTGGTCAACAAAGGCTTCCCTTGTCGATCAATCTGTGTCTAGGCTCCCGCGCTGTGCCGGATCAGCTGATTGTCGGCACAGCGCAGCAATCAAGACGCGGATCGGTCGACAGGGGAAGCCTTTGTCGACTGCTCCCTTATGCCGGATCAGCTGATTGTCGGCACAGCGCGGCGGCCATTTTTATTTTAATGAAGCAGGGATTATTCAAATTCCCGCTTCATTGACTATATCAGGTAAACTAGTTTACATGGCTCTGTCGACAGAGCCATGTAGTCTAGTCATACCCTTTGAGTCCCGACTGTGGTTTTTTGACTGCACTCAGTGCTCCGCCACCAGAAGGGGACTGCCAATTCCTTACTCAGCTCCAGGGATGGGCATAGTGCCTAGTGGTGAATACTCGGAATGAGGAATCATTGGCGTAACTTTTCCCAGAGCTCCAATGGCTCATGGGACTGTGGGCACCTCAAATAACCTCTCTGTCCTCATTGGCCCAGCTGTAAAATAGACCATTATTCCACCAAGCATTACAGCGCTCACCTTCGCTACCTGTGACTGCACGCTTACCGCAGAGATATAGCTGAAGCAAAGGTGAAAGCTGAAATCGTGCCAGCCGCCACTGATAAGAAATGCTCGCTTTCTCACAGGGATTGCTGCACGTATCTGCCCCACAAGAATGTTGTGGCTTAATCAATGCCATAAATAGCTTTGAAATCCTCCTCTGAGCAGGAGTGGTAATTATGAAATGAACGTGGCTGGTCACCGGTCCATAGCCACAGCAGTCTCTTTTGGCATAATTCCTACCTCTGAAAATTAGATCGGTTGCGTGGGTGTGCAGTGATTGACTTTCACGAGGCTGGGAATGGAATACAAATTTGGTGATATAATTAGAGAAACACCTGTACATAAGAACGGCCATACTGGGTCAGACCAAAGGTTCATCTAGCCCAATGTCCTGTCTGCCAACAGTGGCCAATTTCAGATGCTCCAGAGGGAGGGATCACAACAGGTAATCCTCACATGATCTCTCCCCCCCCCCGCAGAGAAACAGAAGCTAGGGACACCATTCCTACCCATCCTAGCTAATAGCCATTGATGGAGCTAACCTCTATGAATCTATCTTGCTCTTTTTCGAACTCTGTTAAAGACCTAGTTGTCACCACATCCTCTGGCAAGGATTTCCATAGATTGACTGTGCACTGAGTGAAGAAAAACTTCCTTTTATTTGTTTTAAACCTGCTGCCTATTAATTTAATTTGGTGACCTCTAGTTCTTATATTGAACTCAAGTAAATAACTTTCCCTTATTCACTTTTTCCACACCACTCATGGTTTTATAGACCTTTATCCTATCCCCCCTTAGTATCCTCTTTTCTAAGCTGAAAAGCCCAAGACTTTTTAATCTCTCTTCAAGTACAGGGCTCCTTGATAACTCATATGTCCCCTCCTAGCACTTCGGATGGAAGAAGGCATGTCAAACTGCAGCGATTAGAGATGGCCCACCCAGAATACCATACCCAACCATTTCAGTCTTGTTTGGCTCAGATCCTGAAGCCGTAAGCCATAGAAACCGTGCCTGTACTCTGAATGGATGTTTTTTAGCTTGAGGTTCAGGTCATTTTAAACCAAGACATAGTACCCATGATCATTGTAGCTTTCTTGGGAAAGCGACCGACAAGCGACAAAAAACACCCCCGGAATTGTCAGTGCTACTTTCGCAAAATGGCATTGATAGTTACAGCTTAGATGACGGTTATGTTCCAATGCCCATTGTGGGATCAGCTGCCTTTACAGTGCCACCTTGTGGCCAGGGGTACCTTGACCACACCCTGCCTCATTTCCCCCCTTCCTCAGGGCTCTGCACACAAACTCCACCAGAGTCCAAAGGAAATTAAACAGCTCCTTCCTGGTGTCCAATTGGCTCAGTCCTCCCATCCAGTTCTGTGTCAGTTTTGTGGCTCTCTCCTGATTATCCAAAATACTGCAGTCTTCCCAAACAGAGTGCACACTCACTCAGCCCTCCGCTTAGTTTCAGCTGAACACAACCTCGTCCTCCCTTTCTGCCTCCCAGCACCTCATCTGGAGTTTGTCTTCCTCTCTGCTGAGTCAGGGCCCTGCAGGACTTTTCTTAGGCCAGCCGTGCACTAAAATGTTAGGTCAACCCAGCTAGGTCACTCAAGGGTGTGAAAAACCCACCCCCCAAGCGATGCCCTTCAGCTGAATCTCCCCAGGGGGAGAGCATGCCAGGGGTCTGTGGACCCCTGGTGGTCCATGCCGGTACTGAAGGCAGTCCATAGAAAGTTTAAGGTGGGCCCAATCCTTGCTTTTCTTTTCTCTCTTTCCTTTTCCTTTCCCCCCAGGATGGGGGGGGGGGGGGGGGGCAGCCTGCGCTTTTCACCTGCCTGGTGATTCTGTCTCTTTTCATTGAGATTAGGAAGAAACTCTTTCTCAGGATGTGTTATTCCAGAAATATCTCCCGTGGGGTCTCTTGCATCTTCTTCTGAAGCATCCAGAGCCAGCCGTTGTTGGAGGCTGGGCAAAATGGACCAAGTTTCTGTTGACTTAGCTCCTGCATCTCAAGGGATGACTTGACCATGAGGACGGGAGAGCCCTATCTATCCCTCGCACAAGCATCTGTGCTGATGTGTTCCGGCAGCACCCCTGTAGCATTTCTAGGGAAGACGTAACCTCGCTCTCCACAGGCATAGACACATATTCATAGCCTCCCCCACCCCTGCAACTTCCTGATGCTTTTATTCTGGCATCATCAGCATGATAATCAGGGTAAGTTCGCCCCAGTCCTCAAGCCACCCCATTGCAAGGCTCCAGGGTTGGATGAGACCCGAAGTGCAAAGTAGTCCCTAAGGGTACGTCTACACTACAATGTTAATTCGAACTAACTTAGTTCGAATTAGTTAATTCGAACTAAGCTAATTCGAACTAAGGGATCCAGACTAAAAAACTAGTTTGAATTAGTGTTTTGTATCCATAAATATCTCCCGTGGGGTCTCTTGCATCTGCCTCTGAAGCATCCAGAGTCAGCCATTGTTGGAGGCTGGGCAAAATGGACTAAGGTTTGATCCAGAATGGCACTCCATATGTCCTGAGAGCTGGACCCTGCCAGGCATTTAGCACTCTGACCCAAATCCAGTAAGTCACTTAAGCGCATGCTTAATTTGAAGCATCGAAGTGTACGCTACACCTGCATTTGCATATTTTGTTGGATTGTGGCCAGTGTGCTCAGCATTTTGGGCTGTGTCTACACTACATGGCTCCATCGATGGAGTCATGTAGATTAGACACATAGGCAAAGGCAAATGAAGCCACGATTTAAATGATCGTGGGTTCATTTAAATTTACATGGCTGCCATGCTGAGCCGACAAACAGCTGATCAGCTGTTTGTCCGCTCAGAGCGCTAGTCTGGATGCTCCCCTGCCGACATCAAAGCCCTTTGTCAGCAGCCCCGTTATTCCTTGTGGGATGAGGTTTACCAGGGCTGCCGACAAAGGGCTTTGATGTCGGCTGGGGAGCATCCAGACTAGCGCGCTGAGCCGACAAACAGCGGATCAGCTGTTTGTCGGCTCAGCATGGTAGCCATGTAAATTTAAATGAACCCACGATCATTTAAATCATGGCTTCATTTGCCTTTGCCTATAATCCTAATCTACATGGCTCCATTGACGGAGCCATGTAGTCTAGACACAGCCTTGTCAGATCAAGCCCTGAACAAATACACAGTAGAGACAGTAACTTGCTTCAAGTATGTATAATCCCACTTAACTGCAAGATCCAGCAGGTGGATGAAATAAACAAACAGTCTGGGTAGGTGGAGGCAAAATGCTCCATCAAGCACGTTTATTTCTAGCCTAACTGTATTTAATTTCACTTTTCGCCTACTGAGCTGTTGTCAGCTGACTGTGCTCTGTAAGCATCATGGGAGCAGGGAGCATTTGGGAGGCATCTAAAGGGAGAGAAGAGAGCAGGCAATTTCTTAGGGAGAAGGGAATTTGTGCTTTGTATCACAGATGGCATGGGAGCCATGTGCCTTGGATGTTTCATATTAACCTCAAGTCTTTTCCTAACTGTAGAGTGTGCTTACTTAAAGTATAGATGTGAGAGTCATCATGCAACTTATTTCTCTAGGCTCAGACGGCAAACTTGGTGCTAGACGATGGAACGAAGATGAAGGGCTATTCCTTTGGCCACCCGTCATCTGCAGCCGGTGAAGTGGTCTTCAACACAGGTCTTGCTGGGTAAGGCAAACACAAGGGATACATTAAGTAGGGATGCTTTTTTATAACAGAGCATTCAACTAGAAAAAAAAGAGAGAAAAACAGCTGAGTATTCATCATCATCATGATTATTATTAGTAATTAATTCATATTATTTAATTAAATAATATATTGTTTGTATTACCATAATGTGTAGGAACCCTAGTTGTGTAGAAACAAAAGGCAGTCTCTACTTCAAAGAGCTTGCAATCTAAGCACAGATTGAACCTTTCCAGTCCGGCACCTTTGGGACCTGACGGGTTCAGAACCAGAGAATTTTCCAGACCATGGGAGCTCAATATTGTCTAGCAGCATTACCAACACGTCCACTGCTTACTGGGCTGTTGGAGGACATTTAGGGCTAAATTAGAGCTAAATAACAGCAGAATACTGAGAACCAGGACTGGTGGCTGTAAACAAACTTTATGGGACTGCGAGAAACTTGGCCACACCCATGATAAATGGACATCTGGCTAACTGAAATCATGCCGGGCCACAGATGTTGCTGGACCAGAGAGTGCCAGACTAGGGGGCTGTGTCTACACTGGGCCACTTATTACGGAAAATCAGCCGCTTTTCCGGAATAAGCTGCGAGCTGTCTACACTGGCCCTTGAATTTCCGGAATAGCAACGATGCTCTATTGTACAAAATCAGCCGCTATTCCGGAAAAACTATTCTGCTCCCACTCGGGCATAAGTCCTTATTCCAGAACACTGTTCCGGAAAAGGGCCAGTGTAGACAGCTCGGTGTAGACTGTTCCGGAAAAAAGCCCCGATCGTGAAAATGGCTATCGAGGCTCTTTTCCGGAAAAGCGCGTCTACATTGGCCACAGATGCTTTTCCGGAAAAAGGGCTTTTCCGGAAAAGCAGCCTGCCAATGTAGACGCTCCTTTTCCGGAAAAACTGAAAATGGAATAGTATTCCGTTTTAAGCAGTTCCGGAAATTCATGCCAGTGTAGACACAGCCGAGAGGTTCAAGCTGTATAAGACAAGAGTCAACACATGGCTATTGACAGACTAACTGGGTGTACCAAGACACAATGAAACAATATTGATCATCATGTCAGGCAGAGTAAGGTACGCTAGTAGCCTGACTCTTGACAAGTTTTGGTGTGCATCATGAGAAAGGAGAGTGTGGGGACCTGAAAGTGAAAAACAAGATAGTTGGATATTTTTAGGGCACTCCTCTCAAGTGTGATTGGCAGCATCATGGGAGAAAGCACAAAGGGTCAGTGTTCACAGGGCTTTTCTGAAATATTATATCATGCCAGCCCTGTTTTACAAACTGATAACTGTGGCAAATCCCTTCACTCAGCTTTGAAATTCCGCCACCTCTGTGTTGAAACATGGTAACTACTTAATAGCACGCATACCTGTGACTTCGTTTCCCTCTAGTGGTGAGGTCCCGTGTAATGCTATATGAGTCTGCTACTGTCTCTGAGGGCCGGTCAACACTATAGCTGAAGGTTGGCTTAAGGTATGCAATTCCAACTACATAAATAATGTACCTTAACATTAGCTTTGGGGCTGTCCTCACATGCACCAGTGGGGGTTTCCTCAGCATTTCATTTAGTGGGTCCTTACTAGACGTACTAAATTGAATGCTGGAAGATCAACTGTCGCATCGTTACAAGTGGTGACACATGCAGGGATCAAACATGCTGTTGAACTCTTGAGTCCCCTCACCTAAAGGGGAGTGTGAGGTACGCTAATACACTAGGACTTTTTGCCCCACTTAAATGGAGAAACTCACAAGTCTGCTATAGCTTCGGAGCTAGACTGCTCAATCAATCAAGACCACGGTTGCTCTTTCTGCAGGATGGCCCATCTCAGATGAGAAAGCCCGTCATAGTACAAACTTGTTGGTTCAATAAGATCAGTCGTGAGGAGCAGCAGGTATCAATGGGAGGGAGAATGGAGATGTTTTTGAGGTAAAATTGAAGCTCCCGTTGTAGGCCGAGGTTTCAACACAAATCTTCATGCACCTGCTCCAGCCCCCACAAACTCTGTTCTCCCTATGTGGAACAAACACCACAAGATGGGTTTTTAAATAGTTCCATGGGGAAGAACACTGAATTACAGCACAGGAAATCTGTTCACGAAGTTTTGCATCACAAGGCAATTATTTATGCTTTTCGACAGCACTAATTACAGGCTGTGTTAATATACCTGCCAACAAACAACTGTTTAATATAGATCAGAATGATGGAGGGTAGAGGAGTTCTCTTCCCTGTGATAGATTATGGGCAATAAATCTTGTCACATCACCGAAGTCAAGCGATACCTGATGGATTAATTTCCCTTCAACACTGCAGCTCAGTAGTAGAAGCCGGAGTGAGAATTTATGAACTAGTGGGGATGCAGAGGACACGCTCGGAAGCAATGGCCTGTTTCTGTCCTGGGGGGTGGAAAGGGGGAGAAAGAAAAGATGAGGTTAAAGTTTATTTTTTTGCGCAGGGGCATAACCCCCTCTCCCAATCACCTCAGGTCTGGCAGGCCTGCTCCACTTTGACCCCCAAGCCCCATGTCCTGGTTGAAGGGGAACGTTTTCCTTACTGAGTGGTGCCCACAGCCGTACGTACGTTATGTGTGGGGTGCAGCATCGGCAGGGGCAAAGTTAGGCCGGGCAGTGGCTTGGGCCCTACAGGGAGTGCACAGTGGCTGCCACCTCAGGGATGGAGAACACCCACAGGACCAAATCTGGGCGGCAAGTTCATCTGGAAGGCCGGGGCTGAGAATAGTGTAGACCACTGCTGGGCAACCATGAACCGTGAGAGGCCCTCCTTCACCTCAATGGGCTGCAGAAGCCTGCAGCCCACCGGGGCTCCACCTGTGGCCCTATGACCCCCCTGGCTGCTCCTTTCCCCCACACGTCTGTTGCGAACTGGGGCACTGGAGCCCTACACTTACCTCCTCCTCCTCCCTCCCTGCCAGCACTTTCGCAGCACATGAATCACCTAATTCATGCTCCATCTCTGCTCCTCCCCCTCACTCCCAGAACTGGCGCAGCCGCGAATGGGGGGAGGAATAGGAAATTGGGGCTCCGGTGCCCCAGGGCACAAGAGGCGCATGGGGAAGGAGACAGCCGGGGGTCCGTGGGCTGCAGGTGGAGCCCCAGTGACCAATTGCATCCTGCTTTAGGGTGGTATGAAGTCCTGGCAACGGCTATGGAGAAGAGAATGCCGGGGGGAGTAGAGAGGAGAGAAATAGACTTTGCAGTATTCTCCCAGCACAGATGTGGCAGGGATTGTTACACATCCACGGGTTGCTGGGCAGAGAGTGGGACCATATGGCTCTCCCTAATTCTCAAAGTCCCAGAACAAATAAAGCCTCAAGTGTCCAGAGGAATCTCTTTGCCCCTGGATTGACTTTAATGACACTGTACCAGGATAAGGGTCTGCAGGAAGAGATAGATATCTTTACAGGATCAGAGCCTTAAGTCCCTGCCAGGCACAGGACACCTGTCCGGGATTGGTAACAAGTTACTAGTATGTAAGTGAGGGCACGTCTATACAGCAGGGCTAAAGTCAAATTAATCTATTCAACTTGAGCTACATCAATTGTGTAGCTGAAGTGGAAATAGCTTAATTCGGCATTTGGCGCTGTCTGCACAGCAGGGAGTTGAAGGAAGTGTGTTCTTCCTTCAGCTTCCCTTACGCCTTATAAAATGAGGGTTACCAGGAATCGGAATAAGAGGTCCTCCAGCTCGACATTATTTCAAAATAAAGGTGTAGACGCGCACTATGTTATTTCGGAATAACGTCAGTTGTTCCAAAATAATGCTGCTGTGTAGACATACGCTGAGTGTGCTGGTGTGGTGTTGGCACAACTCTGAGCCAGCTCTGTGTGAACCGAAGGTTACTATAATCCTGACTAGGTTCAGAATGAGCTCAGGAATTAGCCCAGGAAACTGTCTTTTCTCTGACAAACTGAAAGCTTCACTTGGCTGTCTGGTGATTTGGGGTCATTTCAAATGTTTCAACAGTGGTTTTTAGTGACATTTTGAATTGTGGTGAATGAGATGAGTATCCACAGACATGCTCACAAATATGAACTGGTTATATAAACTAATTTGATCTCAAAAAAGCAGGAAGAATTGAAATCACTTTTGCAAAAAAAATCCTTTTTGTTTCCTTGATGTTTGCTCCTTTTTTTGTGGTTGTTTCCCATGGATAGTTTGGCAGAAGAAGTGATTGGCAGGACTTTGCCGCGGTCTGGTAGGACGAGCCCCGAAAGGATTGATCAGTGAAGCCTCTTTTGTTCTTGTGTCATCTGTTGCATTCCTCGCATCATTCTTTCAAGCTTTAAGAGGCATTGTGCATGAACGGTGGCAAGCCCCTTCAGCCAAGATCCCCTCCCCCATGGGAGCAGAAATACTCCACCCCCCAGTGTGCCTACAGTAGGCATTCTGGGGGCGGAGTCTAGGTCGGATCAGGCTGGCGGTTTGGAGTTATACCTGCTGCCCCTGGCGTTGTGCTTGCTTTAGGGGCATTGTATCCCAATGGAGAGTTGTGCCTCTGTGTCACAGCCAAACCCAATGGCTTTCTGTCCGTGCTTTTTGAATACAAATAACCTGCAAAGGTTAGTTACATTGGCTTTTGTCATTAACGAAGGATGTTTTCTAGAACATACAATCAAATAGGAAGGAGTCAGGTATATATGCTAGAAGATTTCTCTGGCATTGCTCACGTCTTTAATTAATGTTTGTTTTTCTTCATTTAAAACGTTGCTCGTGGGTGGGGCTGGGGATGAGGGGTTCAGTTTGCAGGCTGCCCTGGGGAGAGAGGTCTATCCTAGTCTGCTTTCACTGCAGGTGAGAAGCGCCTCTCCATGGCTGCTCAAGCTCCAGCGGGCACAGCCAGGAGGGGGTGCCTGTCCTATGGCTGGGGCAAATTCAGGTTCGTCTGCCCCCGGCACCCCAGCCTGACTGAGGACTGGAGCAAACTGTGCACGTTCCCCTCACTCCCTGACAAAGGGGAGCAGGCCAGCAATGTTCCTGTATGAATGAGGGAGAGCTGCAACCCCCTGCCCTCCCTTAAGCATGCCCGGGTGAGGTTTGGGAGGCTCACAGCCCCTTTCATTGGCTAGGTGATTCTGTCTCTTTTCTGTATGGCTGTATGCATCCCCATATACAGGGAGGAGGATGGGAGTGGGGACGCTTTATCCCCTCCTCCCTCCACATACAACCAATCCCTGATATTGCTTGCAGTTCTGATAAGCAAACGCTGCCTACCAAAGTTGGTGGTCTTAGCTCTTACTGTTTAGGAGGAGTTCTTGACCAGACAGATGGACAGACTCACTCGCTCGCTCCCAGACAAACTCAAATATATAGTAGATATATAATGTAAAAATGCCGTATAAAATGTATTATATGTGCCAAGTGTATCCAAGTCAGGCACTTATAATTTCAGTTCACACTGAAAATCTCATGCATATTTAACAAGAGCAGGAAATATATACCTAGGAATTTTTCATGGACATTGTTTAACTGATGGATCATTTCTCTTGGTTGACGAGAGCAGTGAGTGGTCTATATCAGCATGCAACCATTCCGGGTTTTGTAAAGAATTAGACAATGAATCTTCTGGTAGTGGGGCGGATGTTCCATAAAAAATGGTTCTTGCAAATTACTGATATCTGGTAAACTGTGGGAGTTTCCAATTACGTCTCATTTAAACAACAAGAAAAAGAAGAATACATTATGGATACAGACAGGGAAAATTCATCCTGAAGTACTGTACGTGCTTAGCAAAGTGTATGAAAGGGTAATTCCATCCACTGCTGAAGTGCAACCATTTCTGGGGAGAAAGACAGCAATTATTGAACAGTTCATAGCAACAGGGCAGTCGTGAAAGTGAACAATTACTTACTCAATTGGAGTTGCAGTGGGAATTGTAGGCTGAGTGCAGTTAGCTGATTTGGGGCTAATACTAATCGAGTACTGCCCTCATAGGTGACGTGAAACCTTAGTTTTGAGTTTCAATTCAGCAAAAATTTCACTCTGTGTTTAAATTGAGCTCTCCTTGGGAGTTTCCGCTTGACGTACCATCCCCACCTTGGGATGGTCTTGCAAATGGGAGTTCACGTCTATCTGGTCTACATTGCCTTTTCCGCGCCCAACCATTTGTCTGTTTGTTTTTAACTCAGCTACACGGAAACCCTGACAGATCCCAGCTACCGGGGGCAGATTCTCACAATGGTCAACCCCATTGTGGGCAATGGCGGGGCACCAGACACTGCGGCTGTGGATGAAATGGGCCTCAGCAAGTTTTTAGAGTCGGACGGAATCAAGGTAACGGCAGTCACAAAACCAGGACTGGACAAAGGAGCCCAGTGGAGAAATTTAGAAATACAAATCCCTGGTGTGAATGGGAGTGCCCTGATCTTTTCCAGGCTCCTCCCCGGGCGGGGGGAAGCGAGATGGAACTTTCCAGAAAAACATAGATGGTTGGTTTTTTTTTTCACCTTTCTTTCTGGTGCCTCAGATGGGATTTTGCCTCCCAGAGGCAAACCACCGTAGAAAGATCAGATCATGGCAAGAGAGAGACATCTGAGCACAGAGGCCATCTTTCCTGAAGAGGCTGGTGGGTCAACCTAGGTGACCTAATGCTCTCTTCTGGCCTTAAAAATCTGATTGTCCTCTAAGAGGGCCACTTGATCCAGCAGGGCCTGCATTCTTGCCAAGCCTCTGTCTTGGCTAGGAAAAGGAGGAGTACTTAGCAAGTGTGCTAGCCCTCCTGTGCTGAGTCAGCAGGGGTGTAAACGCTAGTGTAAACAAAGAGAGAGGTGTGTTAAAACGCGTCAGCTGCGCTTGGTTAATGCTTTCACTTTAGGGTGTCCTGTTCTGGCTGGGACAGCCCCTTTTTTAAGCCTGTCCTGGCCATCTTGCCTTTTTTTTGGCAAAAGTGGGCATTCTGCCAAGACAAAAAGTGGGGTGCGAAGGAACTTGTGTGTGGGAGGTTGAGGGGGGAAGGGTTTAACCCTTTGTAAGCCAGTGCAGGGCAAACACCCCGTCACAGAGCCAACACCACAACACGTGCTTTCCTCCATCGGCTCTCCTCTGTCGGGCAGTGCTGCAGTTGCCACCGCAAGGGGATGGGATTGTATGTGGGAGGAGAGGCAGTGTGTGCGATCACCAGCGGTGCTGGGCAGAGGGCAGGAGATGCTCTGTGCTATTATGACTGGACGGGAATTGATCTCACTATCTCCATTAAGATATGGGCCGCTAAGTGTGGGCCATTCTGCCTCTATGCACCTCCTCTGTCGGGCAGTGCTGCAGTTGCCACCGCAAGGGGATGGGATTGTATGTGGGAGGAGAGGCAGTGTGTGCGATCACCAGCGGTGCTGGGCAGAGGGCAGGAGATGCTCTGTGCTATTATGACTGGACGGGAATTGATCTCACTATCTCCATTAAGATATGGGCCGCTAAGTGTGGGCCATTCTGCCTCTATGCACATAGAAGAAAAGGAGAGAGAGCTCTGGGCAGCCAGAGCAGATACGCGACATGGAATATCTGTTCTGAGGAAACTTAGGGGATCCCTTGAGCCCCATCATGGAAAGCAGGAGAGAGGGACTCTGGTTCCCAGTGAGCTACGGCTCCTCTCCTCAGAGCTTTGGTTTATGCTGGCCAAACCCCTACTCTCTTTAGTTTGCAGGGGGCTTCTTCTGGGTTCCCTGCTTCTGAGGCAGTGGGGAGTCACAGACGAGACTAGCTAGGGAAAAGACGTAGGAAGTGGGGATTATGTGATCCTTTGTTTTTTCATGTTAGGTTAACTTTATCCTCATCCTCGTCCTGCTATTGCTCTCCCCTGTTCCAGACTACTCCAGGTGCAGACAAGAGTCAGAGACTGCTCCCCCCAGTATAAATTAGGAGGAAGTGAATTGAAGTTAATGGAGTCCCACTGGGGGAGGGGCAAGTCCATGGCTTGTCAGTGGAGCTATATCAGTTTACATCCACTTAGGACCCAGCCCCCTGGTCTTAGGCCAAAGTGGGGCTCCCAGACTACAGACAAATGCATGTGCCACATGAGTATTTCATTGAGAGGGACCTGCTGCTCAGCCCGCATCTGGATATTTTGGGGCACCCTGCCATTTCTGAGGGGATGTGGGAAGGGGAAGGGATGCACAAAGGAGAGAACTGGAAAGAGACGGAGAGGTGTGTCCTGGGACTGTGTCTCTCTGTCCAGCAAGGGGCTCTGTCTGTCATTTCCCCCGGCTCTTCTCTGACAGGGTTCTCTCGTGTGTTTCCTCCAGGTGCCTGCTTTGTGTGGGATCGATACAAGGATGCTGACTAAAATAATTCGGGGCAAGGTACGATTCCCCCTCCCTGGTTCCAAATACATTCAGCCCAGCCTCTGCTTTCCCCAGTGGCCGAGAGACCCGCCGACAGCCATGGGGACATGTGACTCACACTGCCCCCAGGCCTTGCTCTGTAAAGGAGTGCCTGACAGCCAAAGCGCTGCTCCGGATGAGAGTCTGCCGTCGGCACCCCCAAGAGACTCCAGTGGCCCATAGCGAAGGCAGAACAGAAAGTCCCTCACTATCCTTGAGTCCTTCTTCTCCTCACTTCCCACTCAGGACAAGCTGTGCTGTGTAGGTGGTTTTGCTACTTCCTGAAAGCCCCCCAGACTAGCAGGTGTATAAGCGTGTTGAGGGTATGCAGAGTCGGGCAGGCCGAAACACAGCTAGAGGGAGAACTTGATGAGACTCCTATCAGAGCCCCCAAAGAAGGAGCCAGCTCTAATCTAAGCAGCTGCACTGCACAGGGCTAATTTCTAGATCAGGCTAACTATATCTTCTTTGGACAAAGCCATTTTTATGGCCATTATTCCTGTCTGGTCTCCTGGAACTGACCCTTGAAGGACATGTGCAATATTATGCTAGTGGAAGGAGGTTAATGGTGAGGTACATTTCACACTGGGGTAAAACAATTATCAAATCCATTTTGAATAAAAATCATTGCGCCACAGGCTTTTCTGCTGTAATTAGTTATCTGAAGCTGCTGCTGTCTGGTTTCTTTTTCTGTTAGATGTTCGGGTTGCATGCTATAGTTCCAACCTGCAGTCCCTCGGCCCAGCAGTGCATGACTTGCCTAGTATAGTATTTGCACTTAAGAATACTAAAAGAAATGCCTGGCTTTGTAGATAGAAGTCAAGGCTGTTTAATGTTGTATGTTTGTAAATGGAAATACATTTTCCACTTCCTTGATACGTATCCCTTAATGGATCAGTGCCCCTTTCATCCATGGTAAATATGCTTTCAATAACCATTTGCTTAGCGTGCACCGTAGGGTAGTAATGAACATTATGTTGGACTCCAAGAGATATTGGCTTATGGTTTTTAAAAAATGCATAATGTCGCCTTTTTCCTCACTAATCTCAGTCAGGTTGAAAAACTAGCTTAATATTTCACTCGGTGTATGTTTATCAATGGGATATGAGAAGAGGTTTCAGCATGATAAATGCATAAGTGAACAGCGATGCTGTAAATTGGATTGTAAAAGTAAACACGGGGCACCGTTTCATTAAGTAATCCAGTGTCAAGATAAGACACTGTGTGTGTGTGTGTGTGTGTGTGTGCGCGCGCGCGCACGCGCAGGGGAGGTAGGTTGTAATCAGCTTTTCTGAGGTTGCAAGGCAGTGCTTAGCCATTTTCAGTGCTCCCAAGTGGTTGGTTTCTTGAAGGTCGCACAGGCCCTTTTGAATGTTTGCCTGACGTAAACTTAACCACAGCAGCAAATGTGACGAGAGAAGTCGCCTCAAAGTTCCAGAAAGAGGGAAAATGACCAAAGTGCTTGTTAATGGCACTTCCTGTGAAATGGAGACATGTGAGACAGACTCTGCCATGTCAGTTCATACTGCAGCTGTTCCAGTCCCACGGTGGCTACATGTGGTGTCCAGTTCTAGGTGGTAAGCGTAAAGGAAGCAGCTTCTAGCCCTTCCGGTGACTACCGCCATAATTAACCCACAGTTTACACACACAGGTGTCCAAAAGATTGGGGTTCCAACTTCTCCTAAGAATAGGGAAATAACTGCAAGAGCTCAGCCTAGTGTGTGGCCTAGCTCAGGTCCTGCTGGGCACACAAGTATCTTTGAAGCATGCATATAGTCCTATTGCGCACATTAGTGTAGGGATGCAGAAGGTAAAGGTGCCAGGAGTTTGAGGGAGGAATATAACACCCCCTCTCCACTCCCTTTGATTTCCTCCTCCCATTGTGGAAGGGCCAGCCATGCCTCCGCTGAGAAGAGGGGCTGCACTCTCTGGCTATGTCTACACTGTACAGAAGATCAACACTGCCGCAGTCAATCTTCCAGGGTTTGATTTAGCAGGACTAGTATAGACCCGCTAAATTGAACTCAGAGAGCACCCCCATGGGCACCGGTAGTCCTGCTCCTCATGAGGAGTAAGGGAAGCCAATGGGAGGCAAATGCTCCAGTCAACCTGCTGCTGCGTGGACAGTGTGGAAACGCGATTTAAGATATGTCGTTGTGTATCCTGAGTCGACCTTCCACTGTAGTGTAGACCCGGCCTCTGTGCCTGACCTCCAAACTCCAAAAATAGCTGCTGGCTTTGGGAGTGCTCCTAGGCCCACAAGCCTGCTGTCTTGGGAGCTCAATTCTGATCTCCCCTGCATAGCTATCCACTTTGCTACCACTAGCCAGCTGACCCAGCCCCATATCCATGGATTTTATTGCTTGTTTTGCCGCCTCAAATATATAGGGTGGTTAAACCGCTTTTGATGATGGCAAAGTCTAAGAAACGTTTGAAGGTGCCTAAAGCAGTGGTAGAAGTGTTGAAGTAAAGTCTTGGAGCAGCTGTTCTATCCCCCACAGAGTTTTTGTTTCTCAGCACCTGCACCACTGTTCACAACTTCTGCTTTGCTCACACATCTATTGCTTTATTTCCACAGGGCACCGTCCTGGGGAAGATTGAGTTTGAAGGCCAACCTGTGGAGTTTGTAGATCCAAATAAGCAGAACCTGATCGCAGACGTTTCAACCAAGGTGAGCGTACTCACCTTTAGAGGGCTGTACTCTTGAGTAATAAACTCCTCCGCATTTGGCCTAGAGAGTGGCCTTTCCCCTTAGTGAACATTGTGTGTTTATCAGTAAGTCATTGTCACTTGACTGCAATCTGGGAAGGGGATGGGGGGGTGATTTTCACACCATGAAAATCATAGAGCATTAGAACTGGAAGAAACCTTCAGAGGTCATCAAGTCCAGTCCCCTGCCCACATGGCAGGACCATCCCTTGAAAGGTCTAACTTCCTCTTTAAAAATCTCCAGTGATGCATATTCTACAACTTGCGTAGAAGAATTTTAAGCTGGTGGAAAATGTGGTTTCCCTTAAAGGAATGGCAGTGAAAAGATGGAAATCCCAGAAAAGCCACAGCCCTGTTTGATCCCTCTGTTCCAGCACAGTCTGGTTATAGTAGTCAGCCTTTTTGTACTGGGCAGGGATGGTGTAGGTATTACCCAGAGCTACATGCTACTGCCCCAGGTAGTGTATAGACCCTAAGTGAACACAGATTGTAACCTTCTCAGGAGAGTCTGCAAACCATGTTCCAGTCTAGCAAGGTTAGACTGTTAAACCAGCACAGGCAGGCGTTGATGTCATGCCCACACTACACATTTTAAGTGTGTCGTAAGCAATGGTTTTGTAAGGGGTCTTTTGACTCTGATGTAGCTGTCGTGCAGGCAGAGCCAGAATTATAACCACTTGAAAATGCACAGCCGTGAAAGGGTGTAAGGGGGTCGGCACCCACCTCACGTGACCGTCCCTGTTTGCCAAGGGCGGGGGGGGGTCCTGCATTCCCTCACTTTTAAAAAGCCTTGGGGCTACTCTGCCCTCCGGCTGAGTCTCACTCTTTTGTGCGACCACAGCCCGCTTCTGGAGTATGCCTCTAACAGGGGCCCTCGGCTGAGTGTCTCTCCATTCTCTGAACAAGGGAGGTGCCTCCAGGACTTCCCCTCCTGGAGACAATGTCCTAGACAGCTCCCTACTCTGAGTGGTCCTTGGTTCTGCCAGACAGCCCCCTGGACCTTGTGCCTTCCAGGTCTGGGCTACAACTGAGCTACCGCTAGTCCTGCAACTTCTTATCTAGTCCCTCCTGACTTCTCCATAGCCACTCTAGCCTCCTGGAGGACTTCTCTATGGTCTTTTTAGCCTTAGAGCCTAGCCCCATTACAAAGGGAAGCAGTCAGTGGCAAAGGGAGGGAGTGGGAATTTGAGGTTTGACACCACAGGAAATCATTTGCTTTGCATATTATTATACGTGCCATGCATTATTGTATATGTCTGGATCCCGGATTGTAGGGGTACATACTGGGTGCACAGAAGGGATGTGAGTATAGGGAGCGTGGGTGCTGGGCTGGCCAGTGAAGAGGGGGTGATCCCCACCCCCCCGCAGGCAGATCAGGTGGAACTTACATGGGGCCTGGCTCTTGGAAGAGGCAGTGGCCTGGCTAGCTGGGCTACTCTGCTCCCCGCTAGGCAGGAGTCGCCAATCCACAGCCATTCAGGCATTCACACAGGCGAGGGTGAGGCTGGTTGCTAATTCGGTCTGTGCCCCTGGTGGCAGGGAGGAAGGCTGATAAGCCAACGCTCTCTTGCATTTCTGGAGAGCCCTTCATTGTGGCAAACAGTGACAGGTTAAAGCACGTTTCTTTTCGATTCCCTCCTGAAAATGGGCGAGTCCCTCCGATCAGGTACTGGATACTTTCCCACCAACCATGTGGGCTGTTCTGGACACAGAACTTGACTGTAAGTGTCCATCCGCTGAGCCAAACAGCATAATAAAGCCCGTCTCTGTTATTCCTTCCTTTTGACTCTCTTGGTAGCGGCAGAATTACTATGAAGCTACTGCAAATGCCATCCATAAAAGAGAGATAAAAAGATGAACAGAGCTTCTGTGGTCTCATTATGTTTATAACTTATTTTTATAGGCTTAAAAAGCAACTTCACAAATAAAGTTGACAATTAGCTAAGCTTTTCAATGGTGGTAATTACTGGACATGATCATCTGTCTGCTAGCAAGCAGCTATTTTCATGTAAATCAGAGTGCAGGGAGACCAGGACTTTTCTTATCAGGGGTACATTAGGAGGGATTTTTTTTTCTTTTAATGCTAGTATGATAGATTCTGTTTACTGAATGTGTTTATGAAGGCCGGTCTTGTAGATTTTGGCTGGGTGTTACAGGGAGTTTCTGCAGAGTTTATTGTGCTCTTAATTTGAATGTGTTATAGTCAGATACCCAGAGCAGATGAACTGCTTAACAATTTGAGAAGGTCAAGTCGATTATGTACACAAGAATCTAATAAAGATAGAGTCAGATCATTAATGCTGCATGGTTATGGTACCTGCAAGCCACAAATCCAGCCTCAAAACCAAAGGGGTTGGGGGTTTATTAGAGACCTGCGTGACAGATTGGTCTGAATTGCAAAGATCAAATCTGGATCTAGATTTGTATTTCTGAAAGATTTAGCTCAGAGGAGTGCTTTTGGTTCAAGCCCAGTTCTAGTCAAAATAAGTGAGAGCAGCTTTTCCCTGTAATTAATTGTATTGGGATTGGAATACCGAAGAAAGTCCTTGTCAGTGAAGCGTTTGCATCATGAATGTTGCATAGATCCCTTCATAGATGAGCTGCAAGGAGCCCATTTAAAAATGGGGCGGAGAGAAGTGCTTAAGGGAGTTTGGTGCCCAGTGCTCATCGACTTTAAATATGAGTTTGGTACCTAACTACCATAGGCACTTTACAAAGTCCCTGCCTATGTTATTAACTTGTTGGAACAAGCATATCCAACAATGTCTGTTTATGCAGAAGAGCTGCAAAACCAAACCCAAAATTGCTGCTTTCATAAACATGGTTCTGCAGTTTAAGCTAAATTAAATCACTATTTGATTATAAGATAACGTACCAAAGATACACTATGATCGTGACAGACAGATAACCCCTTTGCGAACCAGAACACAGGCATTACAAATAGTATTAGAAACGGAGAAGAGGGGGAGGAGCTAGATCTACCATCACTCTTCAGAATGAAGGAAATGGATTGTGGGGTATGTTCCCCGCAGATTGTGTGACATATAAATTGACTGACACTTCTTAACAGAGCATCTCTATTCAATGCTCTAGAGGAAGGCCAATCTCTATGGCCATGTCTACACTAGAAAATCATTTCGACTTTACTAAATTTGACTTATGGACTCCCGATTTAACGAATTCGAACTTGCATGTCCTCACTATAGGGAAGCATCGAAATTAGTTTGAGGCAGGTTCTGTTAATGTGGACACGCTACCTCAGACTCAGAGCCCCAGGAAGCCCTCTGGGGCGCTGCGGGGGGCCACCCGGAGGCCAATTAGTTCGAGTTAGTGGCACCGGAGTGTCCACACTAATGTTATTTTGGACTTGTAACTGTGGAATTACTGTTACTCCTTGTGAAAAGCAGGACTACAGAGTTTGAATTCCACAGCCCCGTATTCCACATTAATGGGCTCGGTAGTGTGGATACGCCTCTTACAAAGTTGAACTTGGGGGGGGGGGGTTATTTCGGGCTAAAGTCTTAGTGTAGACTAGGGCTACCTGTCTTATTATCCTGTAATGGTCACTCCATTACGGGAATTCCTTCTTTATTGTAGACTGAGAGCATGTCTAAACTACATCCCTCTTTTGAAAGAGGGTTGTAGTCTAGACATGGCCATAGAAATCAGTTGCACACCATGCTGATGAGCAGAACTGCCATATAGAAGGATGGGCTGGCTATTACTTCCATGGTGGATGCCTTCCACTTATCAGAAGAACATGCTAAAAAGGATAACATGAAGAAAGGGGTTAAATGACAGCAGATGGAAAAGGGCCTTACAGGGAAGAAGTTGGAAAGTATGTAGAAGCACCATCATCATCTAAACATGGGTCACTCGTGGTGGTGTTCTGGATGGACTATTGCAGGGGCAGGGAAACTTTTTTGGGTTGGGGGCCACAGAACCACAGAAAAATCAGTGGGGGGCCACACACAAGTGAGAAGCAAAGTGAGAAGCCCCAGACAGAGTAGCAGAAAGACACTCCCCATATTTCCCTCACACACCAGAGCCTAAGGGGGCCCAAGTGGATAGATTTTGTGTGCTCCAGCCTTGTGGGTGGGTGACAGGGGCCTGGGGTGCCAGCACAGTCTCTCCAATGCTGAGCCTCAGCAGCCAGATCCAGGCAAGTCAGGGGCCGCATCCGGCCCTCAGTTCTGAGGTTCCCCACCCCCGGACTATTGGTTTGTACTGGGACAGCATTGAATAGTTTCTGTACTGTGTAGCTGTAGTATATAGTCACTCATTCTGTTACATCCCAGCCTTATTGCCAGTAGAGAATCAAACTGACATTGTAAGCAAAATGAGCTGGATTCCGAGCAGGTGTAAACTGGTCTTGGTTTATTAAAGTCAGTGGAGTGACTCCAGTTCACAATATCTGAGAACCCGGCCCAAGATAGCTGTCATTGTCTCTCTCTAGTTGTTGAGATTTCAGGCACCACTTTCTGATAACAAGGCAAAACACAGACAAGTTAGTCATTATCTATGGGAAACAAGAAGTTTCTTAGGGATCATGGTTATGACTGTCATGAACCATATAAAAGGCATTATACCAGTTTCTGACTTTCATAAAACAAATTAACCTCTGTGGCATTTCCTGAGTTTTCCTTATGAATTGACCGGTACGTGAGAGTCACTTCCTGGCCGCGAACAATCAATCTGCTCCTAACCTGTGTGCAAAACACCCTCACTGTGTTTTGATTTGTCACTTTAGGGTAATGTCTTTTTTCCAAACCTGTCAATAGGAAGTCAAGGTGTATGGCAAAGGGAACCCAATTAAAATTGTAGCGGTGGACTGTGGGCTAAAGAACAATGCTATCCGTTTGCTAGTAAAGGTAAGTCAGTGTTTCGTATCTCTCTCCTCCATGGTGCTTCTTGTGCAGCATTGCTTTAGTGCAAGACTGGTGGATTGTTTAGCTGTGTCTGTTTCAGCCTTTCATTCTCACGGAACCCTCTCTTTGAAAAATGGATAGGCACCCTTAGCTCGAAATAAGCTACGCAATTTGCATTTTGAGTGCATTTCAAAATAGCTTGTTTGGTAATTTGGTGCTGTCTGCACAGCACCAAATTTCAAGATAACTTGCTATTCTGAAATGCCCCTTAACCCTCATGATACAGGGTTACCGGGACGTCGGAATAAGCTGCCCATTATTTTGAAATAACGGGCAGCTTCAATAGACGCAGAATAGCTATTTTGGGATATTTCCAGTATCCCAAAATAGCTCTGCAGTGTAGACATACCCTAAGGTGAAGAATAGCCATGAGGCAACCACTGCATGTCAATCCTGTGAGAAGGGCTATTGACAGGAGACTGAGATGGTTTGATTGAGGAACTCACATCTGAGCTTAGGAGACTGTAAGGGATTCCTTATTATTTGCCTAAAAGCAACCAAGAACGACTCAGCCCTGCATTGCAAAAAATGACTTGAAGCAGAAAGCTCAGCACAAATGGATTTTTTTCTTGCACAACTTTGTTATAATTGATTAGCTCTTTGTCTTGTTTCTCAATAGAAAGAACTAACACGGTGACCATCCATTCTCGATGGTCACCTGGGTTTCCTTATGTCCAAAATTATTCTCTGCTAATGCAAACATTAAAACCGTAATGGCAAGCATGCTGTGTGCTGCATAATGCAACTGGTTTTGTTTGCAGCTTGTACCTACCATTTGACAGGCTCATGAACTGTTTTCCCTATTTTAAATGATTGGGCCAAAGAAAACTATTAGAACTTCACAGAGGGTGTAGCAAGAGGATGGCGAAGCTAAAGAGAGAAGAGGGGGAGCAGTTCCAATGGAAAAGGGTTAGACAGTGTGGCACTGGGGAAAGTTGGCCCAGCAAAAGTCATTTAGTGCCCAAGTTGAGTTAAGTTAAGAGTTGCCTGAGAAGCAGACATCAGAGATCAAATTGTAACATGCCCTTGCAGTGTTTTCTGTGGATGACACACACAACCTATGTTGGGTCTAGAAGAAGTCACTTGAACGAGTATGTAGGGAAGGAGTGTTGCTGAACAGTTAAAGCAGAAAACTGTGAGGTAAGATTCCTGGGTTTTATTCCTGGGATTGCTGCTTGCACACTGGGTAACCCCGGGCAAGTAACTTTGACTCCAATTCAGCAAAACCCTAAACATGTGTTTCACTTGGAGCTCCAGTGTAGGCCCATTGCCTGGGAGCCAAGAGAAGTCATTGGCATTATTGGTAGGCTTAGCAACATACGGGCTTGCTAAACACGATCCTTAATGACATTTAGATACTTAACTCCCATGGAATCCAATGGGACTTAAGCAGCTAAAAACTTTCTGCACCCAAGTTACTTAGGCTTGCAAGGGTGAGATTTTTATCAGTAATGTCGGTAAACATCGATTTCACTAAAAGTGCACAAACCGGTGAAAATATTTCTGGAGAGAACAGTTGGAAGAGACGATATTACAGGCAAAGGAAGAGAACTGCAGCTTGAGAACTTCTTAGGGTTTGGTTTTGAGGATATTTGCTTTGTGTATGTTGTTGTGGTGTTGACCACTGGTGTTTTCATGGTTTCTAAACTTTTAACCATCTCAGCATCTCCTATGTCATTAAATAATTGTCGGATCTCCCCCACGGCCTCACCCACAATTAACTCCAGCAAATGTGGAACTTTCAATTGAAAAAAAAAAAGTTTACTAATGAACATCAGTGATGAAAAATGCTGAACTTCTCAAAGACTCTCCCTAGCGGATCCGCATCTAGCCCATCCCCTTTCAGTAAAATGCTAGGAGCCGGTCCTTTTAGGGTGACAAATTTCATGGCTTATTCATGCTGTCACTGTAAAGTCTTTGAAGTCACGTGGAACAGCCCAGTGAGAGCTGTGAAGCCCCAGGTGGTGACAGGCTTGTTACATTGTTAAGTACATCCCTAAAGCTAGAGATTTACCAGAGAGTTGACATATTGGCCTGCAGAAGAGTTGGCTTTGGGGGATTACGTCTGCTGGGCCCTCAGTGAACTAGAAGAGGCTCAGGTGATTTGCAGCATTTTCTTCCTTCTTTCTCTGCCAGCGAGGCGCAGAGGTGCATTTGGTGCCATGGAATCATGATTTCACCAAGATGGAGTACGATGGGCTGTTTCTTTCCGGTGGCCCTGGGGACCCGATGAAGGCAGGGGAGCTGATTCGGAATCTCAAGAAGGTACTGTGGGCGCACGGGGGTCGCTTGCGGGCAATGGTTCCTTTAGGAGGACGTCTTCTTTTTTGGGCAGATGGTGTGTTTGGAAAATGCAAGCTCGTGGCGCTAACGAGTCATGTGCCCAAGTTCACCCTGATCATTTTGCTAGTAGGACAGATCCCTGGCCTGTGTCCAGTTAGACTGTTAGCTTTGGGCCAAGCAGTTTGGGTAAAGGCGGGATCGTAAAGGAGGGCATTGTGACCTGGGGCAGGAGACTGGGGTGCAAGGTCCGGGAGGAGTATGGGTGCAGGAGCAGGGATGCAGAGGGTCTGGATTACATGGGGTAGCAGTGCAGTAGGGGGGCAGAGGGTTGGGGGAAGGGAGGGATTGGGGTTCCACAGACTGGATCTGGCCATCCTGACTCATGGCTGTGGGAACTGGCTTCCCTTTGGAGCAAAGGAGAGATGGATTCACACCTGCACAGGCTGTAGAAAGATCACAGAGCGGCTATTCGGCTTTTGTTGCCTCTGCCCTGAGACTGTAGCTGCTTCTGAGGTTGCTTCTCAGAGAGCCGTCTTGGCCGGCCTGGGGAGCCGTGTGTCCGCCATCGTAGGGTGTAAGGCCAATCTGAGCAGATGGAGATTCCTTCCTGACCTCACATATTGCAATGAACTAGACTTGTTCTCCCATCAGCCCTACCCCTCCCCATGAGACTGCCCATAAGACTCTTACAGGAGCTGGGCTATGTGCCAAACACAGCCACGGATGGAGTGGTCTCCCGCCATCTTTCCCCAGCAGAATGACACCAGATCCACCACGTGGACTGGCCTTGACACACACGGCAGAGGGACGGGATGATGGGCAACTCCTTGGCCCTTAGCACGCACACCCTGCCCTTCCTCCTGCACATTAGCAGTGTGTCAGAAACACTCCCCCAGCAGCAATCATTTCTATAGGGGTGCCGTCGAGACAAATGGAACGGGGATGACAAACACTGCATTTAAACGCATGAAGAATATGCGCCGGTTTGCACGGCCGCTGAGCTGGGAGAGGCACTGTTCCCAGGGGTCTCACAGCTGGGTGAATGCAAATTATCTCCACCTAGGTCCTGGAGAGTGATCGCAAGGAGCCATTGTTTGGCGTCAGTATGGGGAATCTGATAACGGGCATAGCAGCTGGGGCTACTTCCTACAAGATGCCCATGGCCAACAGGTATGTGTTACACCACCCTGCACACACGCCCTGAGGACTGCAAAGAACCCAGTGCATCAACACTGTGCCTCCCCTGCTCTAATACCCAGGATGCCACATGGGTTGGAGACCTCCAACTGCTGGCTGCTGCATCTCGATCTGTCTTCCCATAGGTCATGTCATAATGTGACCGAGGAAGCAGAGCGACCACTCTAGAGTCAGCATGAACCTATTTCTCCCAGGGCGAAGCAGTGTTGTGTATGATGTCCTCTCCTGCCCACGAATTAATGTCTCCACCAGACCCCCATTTAATGCAAACCCCAAGGTTGCTGCTTATCCCTCCCTGTTAAATAGTGCACTAGGAGAACACGTGCATTTACACAGCAGCCCAGCTGTGGCACTTTTACACCATGCACCATGTGCCCAAGCAATCAGAGCTGGGGTGCGTAAGAGAACATTGCTACAGCCTCCATGGCTACTCTTGCTGGAAGCTGGTTGCAGCTACAATGGCCACATTGCTCTGATTCTAGACCGGGGCAAGCAAAATACAGCCCACGGGCCAGGCTCGGCCTGCCAAGCCACCAGATCCGGCCTTCTGGAGCCTCCGCCAGGCTCCTTGCCAGCCCTGCCCCTGGATGCTGCTCAGAGCAGCTCTCTGAATGCTGTGAGCCTGGGGGGAGGAAGGGTATGTCTACACTACAGAGTTAGTTCAAACTAACGGACGTTAGTTCGAACTAACTTTCATAGGCGCTACACTAGCGCTCCGCTAGTTCGAACTTAATTCGAACTAGCGGAGCGTTTAGTTCGAACTAGGAAAACCTCATTGTACGAGGATTAAGCCTAGTTCGAACTAGCTAGTTCGAATTAAGGGGTGTGTAGCCCCTTAATTCGAACTAGTGGGAGGCTAGCCCTCCCCAGGTTTCCCTGGTGGCCACTCTGGCCAACACCAGGGAAACTCGTCTGCCTCCCTCCCGGCCCCGGATCCCTTAAAGGGGCACGGGCTGGCTACGGTGCCCGTGCCAGGTGCAAGCCTGCCAGCACCCAGCCAGCAGACCCTGCACCTGGCACGGCTTGAGCCAGCCA